ACCTGTAAAGTAATTTTCATTTTTAACTCAGATGTATCAATTTTTTTATCTAGCTTAATAATTATTAACACTATAAGTAATAATTTAATGATCCGTGTAATACCTTTAATTTGGGATCGACAACAGCAGTGGGATCTGTTCTCGGCGCCATCTTACAAGTACCGGATAAATGATAAATCGTGACAGATAGCGTTCTTATTGCACATTCCCAATAAGCGTATGAGTCAAATGTGTATTGTTCACAAATATCGCGTAAAAATTGTGGATTGAACGCTTGCATTGATTTGGTATTGGCAATATTAATTGCGGCCTTAATACCATTGATCATTGTTCTGACATCTTCCGGATCGTCGTAGTAATTCGGATTGATCTCAGGTTTAACATTAATATCATTAGCCAATAATCTTATCCGACCGCGACTCTTTGGTTTCAACAACATTGGAAGAATGCTCCAGCCGTGATTATCTTCGAAGTTCCTCATCAACTGAGACACTTCATTCTTCAAATTTAATACTTTCCAACTAAGATGATAACTTTTTACTATAAAATTAAAAAGCATTAGTTCAATGTCTGGTGAACCATTATGTTTTTCTGGCTGTTTAGTATTGATAAAGGCAAGAGCATCGATTCCACCCGGGCTCGTTAACGGTCCTGTGTTGTTTAACAGGAAATCCATTATATATGAGTTACGAAAGATACGAAAGTAGTCTTGTTCCCTTATACTTAATGGTTCGTTTACTCTCCACGCCAATCCGCTGTAACTTACATGGTCCATCAGATTCTCTCCGACCGGAGCGTCTCGGATAACGTCTATCCCGAGATCGGTGAGGTGTTTAAACGGACCGATACCGGATAGCATCAGCAACTGAGGTGATCCAATAGCACCCGCGCACAAGATTATCTCTTTACTCGCAAATACGGAAATTGTTTGATCAGCTTTGATGAATTGTACGCCTATTGCCCTATTTGCACGGCGGTCAATCAACACTTTACTCACCATACTATTTCGTGTCACGTAGAGATTCTTGCGATCACGTATAGGATGTAAGTAAGCTCTGTTGCTACTCATGCGAGTGTTATTGATGAAAATGGTTTGCGGGTACGCGAATCCTATTACATTTTCTGCGTTATAATCCACTACGGTATATCCTAGCTCTTGACCAGCTTGTAGAAAGATATCTGCCAATGGCGTACGAAATGGTGATTGAGAGATATGCACTGGTCCATTTGTTCCATGATAGGTAGTATCCGATTGCAGATGTGGAATATCGATCGTTTCCAACTTTTTAAAATACTTTAATACGTCCTTATAAGCCCAGCCTTCGTTTCCCATCGCAGCCCAACGATCGTAATCTTCGGCGGTGCCTCTACTGGCGATCATGTAGTTTATCGCACTGCTACCACCCATTACTTTGCCTCTTGGAAAATGACACTTGTTATTCTTCATACCGAGACAATATTTATCCGATGGCTTTGTATAATATTTCCAATTGACGTCACTCAATTGCAAGTAAGGTGCTAGTGCTGGAACGTCCATTAAATAGTTCTCATTACTTCCAGCTTCAATCAACAATACTTTAATTGCAGGATTTTCGCTTAATCTTGCAGCTACCGTGGCACCAGCTGTGCCAGCACCAACCACAATAAAATCGTAAACGTCGTTGTGCTGCGGCGTCATGTTCGGTGTCTCTTTGTTTAACATGTGTTGACCTTCATTTAAAAACTTTAGAAATCCAATATTCAGATTTACAATGGTATCAATCACTGATATATACTGTTGCCTCAACACGTTATTTGACTCGATAGGAACAGTCATGGCGATAATACTGAGGTAGTAAAAGAAATGCAGCATTTTGTTTTACTGGTGACGTTTCGTGCGCACAGCGTCTTCTAACTGACTCTCTTCGTTGTTCCGAATAAACTAAAAATAACAGATTCTCACATATAAATACTCTATTCATAGCTGTACAACTCAGATGAGATACTCCAAGTAGGATTGCCTCATCTGTGTTGGCCAAGGTAGGTAACTTTCAGATATTTCCGACCTTACCTTATCGCTTGTCCGCGAGCTTACCAATCTATCACACATAAGTGCGCTCCGCTCCGTGTTATATGTGTGTAGTGTGGATGTCATCCTTCGCTGGCTGCCCCGCCAGCTTTTTCGGCGAGAGTGAGGGTAACCGTCACGGTACGAATGAATAGAGGATTAAAAGTGTAAATCAAGCGTGGTCATCAGTTTTGCAGTCTTGATAGATTTTATGTTGTTTGTATCGGATTAAATAATCTTGACGTGCTGTAATGTACGTGTTTGCGACTCTCTAAAAGTCTAATAAATATTAATTAGATAAGAATTCAGGGTATGAGAAACTATATATATATATAGAATCATTTTTTTCTATTACATATAATAAAAAAGTAATTATTGAATAAATCAAGCAAATCAGCGCCGACTTTTAGCCGGGCCACGTCAGTAAGCCGCGCGGAGCGGTCACTCAACCAGGCGCGTGGTTTACTGACGTGCATTCGGCTAAAGGTCGGCGCTGATTGGCTTAATTTATTCAATAATTACTCCTTTATATTATATGTAATAGAAAAAAATAGTTCAGAACTTTTCGACTCAGTTTTACTCCTTCTACTTGCCTACGAGAAATTTTAAAGTAATTGTTGGACACCCTGTATATACATATAGTTTCTCATATCCTGAATTCTTATCTAATTAATATTTATTAGAGAGCCTCTCAGAGAGAGAGTCGCAATCTCGTAACATGACTGGGCAGCTTTTTTTTGTCCAATTAGAAGCGACAGAAGTAACATCAAAGTTATTTGATATAAATATATATGTATGTATATTACTCTAAAAAAAGTCTTTACAAAAGAAAAAAATATACGCCAAGTACATAAAAACTATCCAAATATACAGATTATCTATTATATAAATCTTTTTTCTGCACAAGTAAAAAGCACAGACAATCAACGCCAGACAATTAGCCAAGTACTGGACTTAAGACTGTAAACCCCATAAAACAAAACTTAAAACAAAAGTAAAGTACATTTTTTCTGCAAAAAATATATATGCATTTTTAGCACTTTTAGGCCAATTGCACTTTTGTATCTTTGTATCATGTATTGTTATCCAGTCTATGGTTTTTAGTACGCACTATGTTTGTATAACATCTAGTATTCAAATTTTCCCCATGATGAAAATTGCACTAATAACTTTATATGTATTGCCGCCAAGATGTATCTTTGTAGGTATACTTTTAATATTGCAATTGATTTTTGTAGTTTTAGTATTAATAGTTTTAAATATATTAATAAAATATATGAGAATGTGACTTGCTACTGTTACATCATTTTTTTCAACTATTGATACAGTATTACAAGTATTACATATTTTTTCGACATTATTTCAACATGAAAAATTTCATTGTATGAGTTCTTGAAGAGTATAGGACTTTTTTACAGTTTCGGGAATTTATAGTAAAAGAACAGAATTACCATGTATTTCCATAGTCGTATAACTGCATATTTTACATCGCAAAGTTGTAGTTAATTGATATTCAATAATATTTTTTACACTTTGTATGTTATTAATAAAAAATTCGCTAGCATCTTGTTGAACAGTTTTTTTTTGAAGATATTTCTCACCTGTCAGTCTACGCACTTCAGTTACATTTATAAATTTGTCATTAAAGATATAGCTATCCAATAATTTTCTCACAGCATTTGTCCGTTCTAGACGTAATAACGTTTTTCTAATAATAGGAAACTTTAATAATAGACACTGAATAAAAGCGTTAGCATAGCATGGTGTGATACAAAAAAATAATTTTTTAAATTATTTATTCACAATATATGAACGCGCTGAATATCTCTGACTTGACGCGTGTGCGAGCACGAGCGCGGCTTGAGTAACGCCCGCATTTTGAGTGTGTGCGTGCGGTTCTGTGTACGTGAGACTGAATCTTAAGAAACTTCATGACAGATTCTTGCATTTTAAGGTGTAATATTTTAGATCTCTGGATTGACTAAACTACTTTAATTTGCACTTCTCGCAATTAAAAGCTCGTAATGACATTTATTAAGACAACTAAGGTTAAATTTTTTATTAGTGTTATAATTAACAAAATATTTTGTATAAAAATTTCATCGAAAAAAACTTCGGGATAAAGTACACGGTAGCGTTTTGGCACTCATTCGGCGGATACTTTTATGTACTTGACGTCGCAATTAATATTACCAATACCAAATCAATGCAAGCGTTCAATCCACAATTTTTACGCGATATTTGTGAACAATACACATTTGACTCATACGCTTATTGGGAATGTGCAATAAGAACGCTATCTGTCACGATTTATTATTTATCCTTGAACTTGTAAAATGGGGCCGAGAACAGATCCCACTGCTGTTGTCGATCCCAAATTAAAAGTATTACACGGATCATTAAATTATTACTTATATTGAGAGTTTTAACCGTTAGATAGATTATCTGATACACTATCTAAAAATAAAACACTCGGTTCTTCCTGTAGTGCAAAAGAAATAGCAAGCTAATTAATATGCATTACTATGAAAAACAATTTTTTGTTTCGAATTTTTTCAGTATGGGAAGCAATAATAAGATTTACTTAGACACTTGATGCGTGTCAAGTGTCTAATATATGATTTATGCATGTGCAGCAAATATATGCGTTGTACATGTATACAAAATAAAAATAATTCTTAATAAAATTTGTTTTACTTTTTGTAGATTACTTTTACAAAAAGTGACTATTTGATAACCTACATTTAATCTAACTTTCTACGCTACGATAGGATTTCCTTTGCGCGATAGAATTTCTATCTCAGAACACTTTTAAGAACTACTAGAATAAATTTACATATTAGTTTTGTTACATCCTATATAATTTTATAATAACATTATTTATGAGTCATTTATGAGAATTCAATGACTTACGTAAACTTTATACTTCGAATTGTATAATAAAGACACGGTGTGGCACGCACCGCGATTTTGCGTGCAAACTTAGCGCAAGATCAAGAGGAAGAGAAGATTATTTGAAAGATCATTGTAAATCAAAGTAGCATCCATTAGACGTAAAACACTAGCACACAGCAAACATACAAATCAATATTTTTCGAGAAACATCTGATACAACATATTATGCGGTTTCTTCTTCACTCGCGTATATTAAAAATATTAATTTTTTTCTTCTAAATATATGTTCTTACACACTTTATTTCGTTGACTAATATATACTCTATTTAACAATATAGAATAAAATACCACAACACATACATACAATTTATGCACATAAAACTTATACAACTTATCTATACAATTTATTACTTATACAATTTATGGCAACTATAACTTTATAGTCGCCATTTTCCCTTGATCATATCTGCCGCTTTCTCGGCAATCATGTACACTGGCAAAGTTGTGTGTCCTGATATTATCTCCGGCATAATGGATGCGTCAACTACTCTTAATCCTTTAATTCCAATAACCTGTAAAGTAATTTTCATTTTTAACTCAGATGTATCAATT